ATGGCTCTGAGAAAAACGAAATTGCTATAACGTCAGCCATCGGCCAACTGCAGAAACAGCAATAACAAGAAGCAAACAAAGAAGCACCAGATATGCACCTCTAACGATGGTTGATGAAGTCGAATGCCTGGAACATCACTAGGATTGATCAACGCCAAGAGCTTTATCGTTTATGGCTTTTGATATAAAACTGCGTCCGTTAAAGCGTAATGAATAGACAATGAAGCGAGCTGCATGCATCTGCAATGCGCAACCCACTGCAAAGACGACCTCAGCAACCATTGCGAAAGCCATACAATTTCTCACAAAGCGTTATGGTCCTTTTGCCTTCTATCTACTGTGAAAACTTTTGGCAGTTGATTAACGATTTCACAACAAATGAATACACCATTTCCGTCCTCATAAAACGATTTCGTTATCCACTTCAGAGAAATGAAAAAGAGCAATAGTGAGACATTATGACCTCGCAGTAACCGTTTTCCTCTGGGAATGTTGAGATGATGATAACAAAGAAGGATTGCTATGGTGCAACTGCGATGACAGTTAGCTCGAGTTCTTAATAACTGGGAAGACCGACTTTCTATAAACCACGGCATAGATAGTTGACATATTTATTTATGTGATCTTAGAAACTGATCTTCTGAAGCCGAGGCGAGGTTGGTACAGATCTTCATTGTCGTTGTCGTTGTTTTTGATGTTATTGATCGATGGCTGATGTTTCGGCGACTTCGCCTTCCTCAGAGCCTGGACGTATTTTATATTAGAATGTTTTTATTATTCGGTGGAAAAGAAAGATTAAAGTGTTAATGAGGATCAAACTTTCAAATAGACGCCATATTGAACAGAAAGGCCACTCACCGTGATGTTAAATGTGGGACTGCTCCACGCGTTGTTTTCGTGGGGTCGCGAGCAAGATAGATCTCAGGGTCAAAATATCATTTTGAAATAGGGCGCCAGGTCACGCGTGATAGTGAGGCATTCGTCTTTCCAGTTTCATCAACCATCGCTAGAGGTGCATATCTGGTGTGTACAATGAAGTGCGGTGAACGACCGCAGTGGATGTATTAAGCCACTACTGCTATCCTCCCACATCGTAGCATTATGCGAGCCTTTAGTTTATTAATGGTTGGAAAGATTTCTTCGATGGCTATTCATATGCATGACGACCATGTGAGTGTTAGAAGTCCTGTTTGTCTAAAATCCTTTCCACATGAAGTTGTGTGATTGTCTGATATGTGGATTTCGATTGGAATAGTGCATCTTGTTCCAGATTTTAGTTCATCAAGCCATTGATGGTGTAATTTTGCCTCGTAGTGGTGCAGCCGCGATAGCAGTATCCGTCTGCTTATCCTTGTATAGTGATAGAAGGTCGACCTTCACCGTTCATTATATTCGAGCGGGCACTGCCGCCGGTGTCCTATGGGACTTTCGATGGTCGTTCTACGAATATTGAAATATGAGAACCTGTTTGACGCGGTGAAGTCGTACACAGTGTTTCTGCACATAGTACAGATAAGTTTGGCACGCGTTAACGTATGCTTCTGGGGGTGGTATGTGACCAAGATGCGTTTGATGACTTTTTTCGCTTGATCGGTGATCACAACGTTTTGCAAAATACCCAAGAAAATACCAAGGTCCTTTCAAACAGCTGTATTGCTTTCACCCTTAACACAGCAATTGCATTTTTAGGATGTTCCCGGTCTAGAACGGTATCACGCATTAAATACGGCCATCTGTGACGTACTATCAAATTTCGACATGGTGAATTTCGTTCCTCTAAATGTACAAAGGAAAGAAGATATGGCAAACGTGCTGCGTTTAGCAGATTCAGCGAATGGATGGGCATTCCATGACGTTAGTGATATAAGGGAATTGGTAGTGAACCAATAGGATCAGCTCTCACATATTTTTCTCAGATACGAAGCCTAGGGTATGTTGTATATTACCACTACAACAGGTGGTGTTATTTGTTCAGTTCTTATAACTGCTAATGACGAGGTATTGTCGTCTGTGTTTAACTTGGTGTTACTGTATTCAGTGTACATTGCAAAGAACAGAAGAGATCTCATGAGAAATACACTTGACTGCAACTCCTTCATATTTTATATCAAGGCATAAATTTGGTAAACAAAAATAGTAATTGTGTCATGACTTGAAGAGAAATATGTTGTGGGTAGATGTTATACTTTATACGAGCCATTTATAGCACCGTAGTAGTGGAGCTCGTCCTGTGTCTACTCCGGAATTTGCGGAAGCTGATGCGTTTGCCGTATCCGCTGTGAAGATCTTGGAGTGCGAAGGCTGTCAGTAATGGATTCTATAATGTAAACGTGTTCATGAGATCATGTGGGTGAAGAGTGTCGGGAAAGTCGTAAATGAGTTACTGCGATCATCGAGAACAATTATTTCTCACCACTATGCGTTCGCGTAATCCTTGGAGGAGTTTCTTCCAAAATGCTTGCGCTAGTAGCACGTCTAGGTCGTGGTGTCTTTTTCTTATTGTTTGTAGAAGCCTAAAACACAAAATTTAAAAGCGAAAACGATGAGGCAAAGTCATCTTCAGAAATATTCACAATACGAACAAAAAGTAAAACATTACGTACCCCAATATCATCTTTTTCCTTGATACGACTTCGACTTCTTCGTGACCCTATAAAAAATTCTCTGAATTCATGTATTCTGAAGTACCTATCCATAAAAGTGTCTAATCAATTTACTTGATTCCTCTTCAACTTCAGGAATAGCGTCTAACACTTTAACTTGTCCAGAGTTCGATTGCGGGTCCAAGACACCAGAATCTATAAAACAACCAGTACAATGCAACATAAAGATAACAGCCCAGTCATGAACTACCTGATAGAGTTCTTCGTCGACTGCTTTCGATTTCAGCTATCTTTCGTTCGGTTACCATCTAAATAAGCGCTAAAGGTAAACGTCTACAGAAAAGCACATGAGAACATGTAGGTTGGAAAGGGCGTACGTTAAAAAACGATCGAGCGTCAAGTCCTCCAAGAGCTGGGAATCCCGATGTGCCTTAAAGACGGTAGTTTTATTTCAAGAAGGTAAATTACCTTTCTCCTACCTTGCAATTCTTTAACGGCATTAGATGTGCAGCTGGATCGTCTAGAAGTGGATGGTGAGTTATTCATTTTAGATTTCGACACGGAGCGTGTAGGAGTACGTCTCAATGATACACCATGATAAGGCCGCACAGTGAATACAATGAATATTTAAAAGTAGCTGGGAAAGAATTTTGTCACCGGTTGCTGATGCTTTACGATTACGACTCGTACGACTTAGGAAGAAAAAGGTTACAGCTACATATGAATAGATGCGAGGGATAAAAAAACGAAAACCTCACCTAGAACCCTCTTCACCAGCTTTAGGCTGATTGTCAATATGTGCTTCTTTACCATGTCCACTGATTTTCCGAGTTGTTCTAAAAAAACAGACCCGTCAGCTTCTTTAGTAATGATTCCCTCGTTGGGTAAATCACCTTGAAGTTTTTGATGCAGGAGTAGGCAACCGTTCTCCTTCTCTAGCTCTTGTGGGCGTTCTCCTTAAATTATTAATGTGTAGAAATGTACTACTAATACAATATCAATGATAGTTCTACAACAAACGCTTCACAAAGAATAACGTTCTTTAAGTAGATTTATTGGATTGGATTCTACCATTCATAAAAGCACATAAATTACAAATATCAGCTAAACCAAATAAACGTGGTACAGAGTAGCCATTACATGTCGGAAGTACATTCAAACCCACAGATGATCTGTGTGATTCTTTCTAATTTCGAATTATTAGGTTCAAAGCTAGGAAAAATTGTTCCCAAGTCTCGAGAGAGCCTTAACTGAAGGAGCTGAATATCAACCGTAAAGCAGCCTCGGAAGTCACCACAGCACGGGTAAACTATTCCTCTACTAGAACTACCCAGAATTTCCCGGAAAAAATGGCTAAGTAAAGAATCCTAGAGCTCAAGTGGAAGACTATGAGAACTCTAATACGTACAGAAAACAAACACCGTGATAGTATTATCTTGCAGCACCAAAACGGGCCTCTCTGACGCAGATCTTCACGCTCTACTACATGCCACCAATCATTAAGATTTCCTTAATCACTTCAGTAACAGAAATAAGATCAGTGGAGGAAAAAGACACTTAATGATGCGACCATCTGTAAATTGTGGAGGAAAGGCTTCGCCACGAAGTGTCTCCACAGCAAACTTCGCACGTCTATCTGTTGCATTACGTCGAGACACATGAACTCCAGTCCGCTTACATGATCGTCCTCGTTCTTCAAGTTATAGGTTGAAAAGGATTGACTTTTTTCATTGACACTTTCCATAGAAAGGGAGCAGCGCGACATCTCCTAACAGAGATGTTCACTGCTGCACTGTATAATTTATGAAGTCGTTGAAGTGCGAAAACAGCGTACACATAAACCGGAGGGAAAACCAATTAGTGAAAGGCAAGACGCGTGTTAACATCTCAACCATGTCGAAGATTTCACGCATTCCTACAGAAGGCGGAACGATGAATTTGGAAATATTACTGGCTCATGCTAACCTCCTATTTCCTGCCTACTATAATTTTTCAAGGCAGTCTATGATGTGGATTATAAACACACGATGCAGAGATATTCGCAAAACATGGACTTCGGGCCGGATCGAACAACGATTTCCCTTTCCGGGGTTAGCGCATAACACAATACTCCACGGAGACCCTTGCTCTGCGTTTCTCTCATCCAATTCTCTACCTAACGCTTCCACCATCAATCACCCGTTTCGACTACAGCTTAAGCTTAACTGAGCTCAATGCCCATTTGTGCTCACTAGATCAATCCCGCTGACGGGTGATTGCTGATAACAGCATTAGGTAGAAAATTAGCTGAGAGAAAAGCAAGGGCCTCAGTGGCGCACTGTGTAATAAGCGAGCCCCCGGGAAAGGAGCGTCGTGGTTCGATCAGGGCCGGGGTGCTAGTTTTGCGAATACCTCAGCTTCGTTGTGGTTACCGGCTCATATTAAGAAAGAACTGAGAAGAGAAAGAAACTAAACTCTTTCGGTTAAACATAACTCGTTAGAAAAATCAACTCAAATATCGAAGTAGGCCCTCTCGTTACCTGGACCACACGTTCACTGATCCTTCTCAGTCCATATTTTTAGCTAATTTCGTGAGTTACGAGATCATTAACAGCAGTATTTCGGGTACTAATTATAGCCAAATTCATGAGTTTATCATCAAGTTTAACTTATCAAAGAAATCTCTTCCTCCAGAAAACCACTGATCATATCTCTTTAACCTATTCGCTACGCTTAACGTACGGCTCTTCAAGCGCGGAGCTAATTTTTCGCGGATTGAAAACTGCATTGGAATAAGTTCTCAATATGCCCTGTGTCCAACTCTTCCAATGCATATAAAAATAAAAAGGAATGAAGCTCTCGGCGTGTATCAATCCTTGAGGGAGGTGCAATGGGTTTTACTAAGCATCGTGTTGGAGGTGATTAAATGCACATCTGGCTCTTAAAATGACATCCTTGTACATATATATATATATGTGTATTTATATATACATGTATATATATATATACGTGTATACATATGTACTTGTACCTATATACAAACACATATGTACATGTATAATTATAGAGACTAGAATTTGCGTTTGCGACATTACGTCGCCACAAAATTCAACTAGTCACAATGGAAGTACTTGTATATGTGGCATCCTCTTTACCAACAATTACCGAAATTTATGCGATGCCAGGGTAAAACTCATCCGAAGAAGTTTTTTCCTCATAAAACGTTAGTATAACGATGGCGAAGCTATCCACCATGCAGAAAGTGAGCAGCAGAAAAAGGAAGATGCGTCGAAATCAAAGCACATTTTTTTAAAAGGAGTTAAACGTTAAACCATGCGAGAGGAGCAAACGTGGATCCATTACGATAATTAAAGACTAAATACAGTTACGCAATCGATGAAATAAACCTAAATCACACCTTCGTAATACTCGATGAGTTCCAGTGGTACCAGCGTCCGATTCCTCATCAACAGTTACCGTCGAGTTTGGAGTAGGCCTGAAACGATGGGACAAAAATAGTAACTAGACTCCTACTCATTACAATGATAACTCACAGTTGCAATTTTGTAGACTGAGTGACCTCCGCATTCTTACGCTTTCTTGCAGGTGATCTTCTAAATGTTGGTCGTCATTAAAATTCAGAGTTGAAAAGAAATGTTAAGGACATTGTTTCATTTTTAAGTTAGTTGGAGTACATAACGACCTCGTAGAAAGCACTACACTGTTATCTGTTCCACCAGATGCACTTGAGTCCGTTCGAGTTCTTCTGGAAATCAGCAGTGTTGTAACAACTCGTAATAAGAAGTGAAAAATAAAGATGCATACTTTCTTGGTGGTGTCAACGTTTTCACATCGCTAGCATCATGCTTCCCTGATAGAGCTAATTGACTGAAAATATTGCAATTTCTACCCTTGCTCTCTTTCTCTCCCTTTATAGGCGAAAATTTCAAAAATAGCTGCGCGACAGACAGCATCCTTTAGGGACAAACCTTGTATTACTGTTCAGAACATCACCATCTTCAGTCTCTTTGCCAACTGCCTCGACAACTCTTTCCCGCAATCGCAGCGAATGCCTTGTTGGAGTGCCAGATAAACGACCAGTCTGACAAGGCCGAATTCATGACAGGGCATGATGATCGAAGGAACGATGATAGGACGGATAGATAGTACCTTTTTCGATGAACCATGTTTCCTAGCAGTTAAAGTATTGGAAGAGTGTGTTTTCTCAGACTGAGACGATGCACAAACCACAACACTCTTCCCTTGAAAAAAAACAGTGCTTATTCACTTAAACAGCAGTATTACCCTACCACCATGTTACATGAACCTAGCCAACAACATCTAGAGCTGTTAGCACAGAAACACGAAATTCTTACCCGTGTCGGTAGATGCTGTTGGGGAATCCATACGGTTCAACATTGTTAACGGAACGTCTAACGTTACCGAAACAGAACACAGAGGATCGCTTAATAAGACAGTGTAAACATCGACTTATGTCAGCATCAAAGTTGGCAATAATTAATACCTAGGCTCGTTAGCTGCGCTTGTCTTTTTCACAGATCCACCTCTATTAAGATCCACCTCGTGTTCGCCATCAACCTCCATCGAATTATTTCCCTGATTTCAAATATATGAATGTAAAACACGAACAAGATTTATGGACTTCAACGTGAGCATTTTTGCACCAGTGTACATCAGTCCATAAAGGATAAAGCTCTCGGCGTTGGTCAATCTCCGAGGATGTACCATGCCTTTGACTTCACTAAGCATCGTTTGGAGGTGATTGAACGCATACCTGGCCTCTACAATAACTCGCGGTGGCCTAACGATATATCGAGTGCTACTACCCTCTCAGATAAGTCTGGTACCAATTTGCCGACACCAGAGGGATGGAAGGCTTGGTGGGCCAGAGGCGCAGGAATCGATCGGTGTTTTTCAGGGCGCTCTTGATCACTGCGCCGCACGCACCCTCAAAAACTATTTGCTGTAGAAGGACAAGTAGTAAGTACTAACACTGCTCTGAAGGAAATCCCGGACGTTATCCGCATCCATGTAAACATCCAATGCCTAAAATAAGATGCAAATATTGATTTCACTAGTAAAAAATTCACAACCTTGCCTTCTTTAGTGTTCTTGAAGCAGAATTAGTTTCGAATGTAGAATTGCTAAAGGAGTAGTCCACTAATTTCACATGAGATATCTCCAAAGTAAAATTCGGAACAACGGAAGTGGTTGCACTTGAAAAATAGTGACAATTTAGCACAATACAGGATATAGACTGGGATTTGTAACATGAATTAAACACAAATTTTACTTGTCAGCTGGAACTGAAATGTTCTCAGCTACTGAATTTGACCGAGCACTGCTCTCAACAGTCTTATCTCCAGATATCTCCTGAACATGTTTTCCGTCCTGAAATAACTTACAGCATAAACAAAACAACGTCCCAGAAATCCAGCATTTTCGCAAATCTAATGATACAGCAGTGCGCACCTAGGTTCTAACAATATTTTGTATACTACTGCTTATAAAAACAGCGAAAGAATTCAATAAACTCTGACGAGCAATACCAACCTCAATATCAAATTCCACTTGCTTCTCGAGTTGCGAAATCACTGGTCCCTCTATTCTATCTTCACTCTCGGAATTCGCTCCAAATTCAACTTTCGCAGATACAGCAGTTCTATACCTTCATAAAAATTCATATTAATATAACACTACGAACCAAAACGGTAGATTGCCAATTAGGGGAAAACGACGGACCTTACAGGAGCAGCAGTGTCAACTTCACAACTCTCTTCCTGTATCTCTATGGAAGTTCTTAAATCTTTTTCTTCGAGCGCCCAAGAACCATGGTCCCGCTGTCGATCGTAATTCTCACCCAAAGTTACTCCATCACACTCCTGCGGAATTTCTTCTTCTTCCTGTTCCTCGAAGTAGATTTCCGAAGGATTCTCAGCAATATTACCAAAGTCATCCTCATTCTGCTGCTCAACTTCTATTGTACTTCTTCCATAGCCTTCTCCTTCGTCTTCATCTTCGTCTTGGACTTCAAACGATTTTTGCAACACTCCGTTAACACCTTGTAAAACAGAATTAGTTGTTTGAAATTCTTTGTCAGTTACCATTGAAGATTGATTATGATGTTCAAGATCGGGGCTGACTAGAGGTACAAACTGCTCTGTAGTCACACCCATCTCCTCAATTTCTACCGTACTTCTGCCATAATCTCCTCCTTCCTCTTCATCTTCATCTTGGACTTCAAGCGATTTTTGCAAGATATCGTTAATATCTTCCGAATGATCACGATCGGGGCTGACTAGAGGTACAAACTCTTCTGTGGTCATATCCATTCTCTCATCTCTCCCATAGTATTCGAACGACTCATCGAAATTAGGCTAAATTGGTTATCTAAGATCGACTTATAAACCAAAAGTCTATGCTATAGAATTTCACTTCAATCCCATTTTGTCTCGAAAATTAAGAGAACTAGCTACTTTGTACCTGAGTTATCTTTTCAAAATTTTCAGAAATGTTGAGAGATGAATTTGACGAAGGAAGATCGAAATGGAGTCGGGTTCGTGATGGTGATGTCACTCGGTCTGAAATTTAAGAAAGCTGACTAAACAGAACACAATTTGAGGAGTTATCAAGTAATTCCTTGGCAAGGGGAAAATATCTTTTACCTACCCCACTTTCCAGACTTAAGAATGCTACGAGGAGCTGCTGTTCGAAGTTCACCCTCAGGAGTTGTGTCGATCCACTTGCGTTGAGATTCCGCTTGTGCAGCGGCGCAAGCACGTGCCCTTGGTGTCCGTAGTATGTCCGTTATGTTGTTTAAAGTGTTGATAGAAATATTTCTAGAAGCTTTATTGGTTTAGCTTTACAACTCTTTCACCTTTTAAAAATCAATGCTTTACTTTCGCAAAACAAAAAGTGTTGAAAGCACAATACGAGCCTCGAAAATAGCAGATCGTCTTCGCTGGAGTTCAAATCAGTAGATTTTCGAGATGGTGTAGCATCAGATGGCTAAAAACACCTTTCATCATAAACAACAGAACACAGAAAGTCAAGTCATTAGACAATCGACCACTATTCCCTACATCACGGTCGTACTAACTGTTAATAGTATGTTCTATTTTATTTCCTTCTCGCTCTAAGCAGCTAAGCCAATTCTCAAGCAGTTTTGGAAAACTTGTAATGTTTTAAAAATCTAAAGGGAAGAAGAATGATAAAAAATAAAGCACTCGCACTCACTTATCAACGACAGTAGCAAAAATATGGCAGTAGCGGAGAGCTTTCAAACATAAAGCTTGTGTATGCGAATATTTGGTCGCGTGTGGCGCACTGGTTGGACGCGCCCTGATGCAACACACAGACGGGGAATCGATCCCGCGCTCGTTTCTCACAAAGCCTTCCATCACTCCAGGATCGGCAAATTGGTTTCAAACCTCCCTGGGAGGATAGCAGCACTGGCTCGGTACATCAGTAGGCCACCGCAAGTCATTGTAAAGGCCAGATATGCACATAGTCATCTCCAACGCTTAATGAAACCGAATGCATAGCGCATCCCTAAGGGATCGATCAACGTCCAGAGCTTTTTTAAATGGAAATATTGTAATCCTCAAATGTTCTGCTTGGAGTATTTTCAAAAAATAGCAGCAATACCTCGCTAATACGCGAAGGAAAACTTTTGCTAAAGTGTTGATCAGCACCCAAAGCTCCTATCCATCCATTTGTGTTAATTTTAGAATTTCTAAAAATAATCACAAGTTTGGAAAAAAAGCTTACAAATTTCTAGGATGACAAAAGTGTAGGAGAAAGAATACGTACAACTTTAGATGCACTGGCGTTTTGCCGTGATTAAGCAGACGAGGTTCGCTTTCATATGATGAAGAATGTAAACATCTCTCATGCTCTACAAATAAAAAAATAGACAGTAGACCTTTTGAAATGCCGTGAGTAGAGTTTCAGACAACTCACTAAGGAGTACAACGCACCAAATTTCTCAATTGCTTGTTTAATATTTGCTGGCCAAGCTGGCTGATTTACTAACTTCATTGATGAACAGATAACACTCTTTCGAAGCATCTTTATGGCAGGCAACAACTGGAGGTATTCAAGAACACCTTCGTCATGATCAGCATTCAAAGGTATTGGTAACTGGAAGATAACGTATTAAAAAGACTTCAAAACTACGATTTCAAGTAACCTACTGACTTCCGACATTTCGTCATATCGACGATTCCTAGCTAAATAGCACTGCCAACGAAATTTTCCGAAAGGAACTGATTCCAGTATCGCTGAACAGTGGCAATAAATAAGATAAAAACTAATTAAATAAGTGCATAATAATTGGAATGAGATTGAAAATACATTTAAGCTTTTTTTCTTCAACAACACTAAGTGTACGGGGAATACTCATCAATCGCTTTGCCTCGGAACTCATAGACAATTCTTCGGAACAGGGAGACGATTGTTTAGATGAACCTTCCAGAATCAACTGAATTAAAGAAACATGATAAGAGCAATAAATAACACAAAGTTACAGATGCAAGCAAAATGTTGTTCTTTCACACATTATTACTTAGTTGGATATTTGGATGGCCCATTCTCACTGGTTGTGCGGGCCCCAGCATAATCTCCATTTTTTCGGAGTTTTGCTAGTTTAGCCATTGCGTTTCCGTGGAGTCCCGAGCTCAGCCTGGCCAAATTTGCCCAGATCGTCACTGCTACAGGCTGACTTGTGGATTAGAGGGAGATTTGCCACCATGCGACTTGTTTGATAACAGGACAGTGGTGGATCTTGGTATCCAGTTACTCTTGACTGGCCTTCCTGATCGAAACGGTGGGACCTGCTGGGTGATGAATCCAACCGCTGTACATCGCAGTCCGACACCCAGCAACACCTCACAGCCACGATGAGGCGGTAGTAAACTGTTGGAAGGCTGTCACACATTCATAAAACTTATCGCGAAAACTTGCTACTGTGCGCATACTGCAATACAATATTTAGTCCAATATCCCAAAACAACGAAAAACACTAACATTTTCGCAATCGGCGCACCACATTTTGTACACATTTTGTATCTCGTCTTTGTTCATTGAGAGAATACCGTTCATCTGTCTCGTCACCACATCAGCAATATTCTCAGCCTATAAGAAAACCATCATTAGAACCATCTCCGGGGTATAACTGCTTATTGGACACTTACCAAACCGGAGCCACCCGTACATGCTATTGTACAATTTGCATAATCTAACAGATAAAATGCGAGAAGCTGGCCTTTCCACAGAGTAGGAATGTTTAGGAGAAGAATCGGACCAAGAAGATTCTTAAGTGGTTGCATATAACGAATTAAAAATGAGCTACTAATTCTCGGAAGAAACCGCACTTTACATTTAAGCTTCTCAAAAAACAAAAACTGAGCAAAAAAAGGAAAGGAAGAAAAATTTGGAAAATAGTCCCCAATATTGCTTACCAAGAGTGCCGGTGGGTACCATTGAGGACCTTCTGCATGCCATAATGGCTCGCTCGGAGATCTTTTACGCATTCGAGTAACAAGTTTGTCAACGTTGAGTTGTCTACTAAAACTCGATTTTAACAATGAGTAACTGTTACTCCAATTTTTTAAAAACTACCCAGGAATTTTAGATCTGCGCTCCTTTAGGGAATCCTCCATTGCTAGACGGATCTCCCTATCTTCGGCCACAGGCAAAATCTTCGAGTATATAAGCTGGTGAATAACAGTCGAATACGACAACAGATTCTCAACAGCAAAGAGCTGCGCTTCCAAACTTGTCATGTATTCCTCTAAAGCTTGTAAAGTTAGCAACAGTAAGAAGAAATTGGTGCAGAAAACTATGTCAGCAGTATCCTACTAAACATCCGGATGGCTTACTTGTTTCATCTTGTTCACGATCACGACTACCAACTAACTCTCGAATAATCTGCAAACCAGCAACGAAAACATCGTGTACGTGAGCCAACGATTTTCGACCAGCAGGAGAAAGCGGGGCAGAAAATCGCGCGAATAATGGAGCAACTGAGGAATAATCGAACTGTTATGGCGAAGAGATTAAAAAGCGGTGTAATAAATAAGCTAATTCCAATAGAACCAACTTGCTTCATGCAGTTTCTTACTAGCCTTATCAATCTCTTCCCAAATCCATGTAGCAATCATGTGACGTGATTCTGGAGATTCGCAGTGTTTGATGAATTGTACAATGGCTCCTGCACGTTGATGGCTGATGAGCACACTCAATACCGAACACAAATGTCCATACTGAAACGAGAAATTTCTCTCATATTTTTGTCCTCACGTACGCAATTAAGCAACCTGATCTTTTGCAGAATAAGTCTCCTTTTTATAAAATCCTAAGGCAGTCAGCCATGTTGACGCAGGCTTCGCATCGGCAACATGCAGTTCGAGATCAGCACAAATAACCGAGAGCAACTGTCAAACAAAGCATATCCGATTTTTAAACCGAAGTCAATTGAAACGATTTCTAGTGACCGTGTTGGCATTAAAACGAACCTGATTTGGAAGACTTGGAAGAGTAAATTGGAAACATTTTTTCGTACCGGCGACATATATCGAAAAAATCTGTAAGCAACGCAATCAACAAAGACCAAATAAAAATGTCCGGCAAAGATAATTACAAGTTCTTTGACTCAAATACAAATTTAGCACAATCGCGATTTCGGTTTTTCGACGAATGTTGGTTATCGTTCAATCACTAAAGAAACTGAAGAGTTAATAACTTCGTTGACAAACGCAAACTCTGTTCTACAGCATTAAGCGTACAGGTAGCCCTTGCAAATTATTTCTACAGCTAATCTTTTATTTGGTGTCTAATATTTTTACGGCAGGATATGATGTGAATTCCAACTATAACGATGCTGAGATATTCGCAAAACTTGGACTCCGGCAGCTGATGGCAGCATGAGGTAGAAGACTAACTGAGTAAACGCAAAGCAAGGTCCTCAGTGGTGCAGTGCAATAAGCGAGTCCCTGCAAAGAGTAATCGTGGTTCTCGCCGGAGTCCAAGTTTTGCGAATATCTCGGCATCGTTGTATTCTTAAAATTTCCAAACCAAATGTGGCAGCTACTACCAGGAATGGTCAAATTAGGAACACCACCGCGTTCTTTTAGACGAAATCCAATCTAACTTTTCACATTCTCCCTATTCACTCTTTAAGCAATAAGGAGACGCAAACAAAATAACGCTGAGATACAAGAACCCCAGTTCGGCTTCCCCACTTTTGACATAACCCGGGTCTCACGTGCTATCCACCTTACAACCAAGGTCTATGCTATGCCTTTCCCTTCACCAGTTTCGGGCAACCGCGAGTTCGAAGCCCACCTGAGATTCCGAGTTCTGCTCATATCTCGAAATCCCGTTTGTGTATCTGCTTCGGTATTCGAAATACAAACTACAACAAAAAAAGAACTCATGAAATATACTTGCCCCTATCATAAAATCGCGATTTCACTTTCGTAAAACAAGAAAGCGTGTATACTTATTTATGTGATCTTATAAACTGATCTTCTTAAGCTGACGCGAGGTTGGTACAGATCTTCGTTGTCGTTGTCGTTGTCGTTGTTTTTGATGTTATTGAACGATGGCTGACGTTTCGGCGACTTCGCCTTCCTCAGAGCCTGGACGTACTTTATGTTAGAATACTTTTTATTATTCGGTGGAAAAGAAGGTTAAAGTATTAATGAAGATCAAACTTTCAAATAGACGCCATATTGAACAGAAAGGTCACTCACCGTGATGTTACGTGCGGGACTGGCCGACACGTAGTTCACGTGAGCAAGACACACCCCGGGATCAAAATATCATTTTGAAATAGGGCGCCAGGTCACGCGTGATAGTGAGGCATTCGTCCTTCCGGTTCATCTTTGGATTTTTGAAACTTATCCAAAACGCATCAAGAGTTTTACGCGTTGATGTTTTTGATTCCTGCGCTAGGATCCGCACAGTCACTTCAATATCATCGCCGTTGTGCTTTTGTGCCCTATGCGTACCTAGAGGGTGTTTAAACGGATTTTAGCTTTCCCATGCAGATGTTCTTTTACGCGGACACAAAGTGGTCTACCCGTTTCCCCGATATATTCCTCGCCGCATGCATTACATGAGATCAAGAATATTATACCTAAACTCATGCAATCCCCGTCTCTCCCGTTAGGACAGATCATCCGGTTTTCTGAGCTGCACAAACGATCATAGAGGCGGTTTCGAACTAACTGACGGCGTAGGGTATTGGGTGGGATGTCAATAATCGTTACATAATTTTCAAGACCACTTTTTCTTAAGCACTTTTTTAATGGCGTGACTTCATTTGATATGAAGGGCAACTTAAAGGGGATCCTACTTTCGTCTGAAATATTATTTTGGGAAACTACCTAAGGTTTTCCTCTAAACCGAGTGGCTTCTACTTCGTAGCCATTGGAAATGGCAATTTTTCGTGCCAGGTTTCGCGATTCCTTCCTTTCCTCTTCTCCCGTACACACATTCTGAGCCGTACGATACATGTTTTTACATACAATGGGTACGAAGTAGAAGCCACTCGGGTAAGAGGAAAACGCTGGGTAGTTTCCCAAAATAATATTTCAGACGAAAGTAGGATCCCCTTTAAGTTGCCCTTCATATCAAATGAAGTAAGTCACGCCATTAAAAAGTGCTTAAGAAAAAGTGGTCTTGAAAATTATGTAACGATTGTTGACGTCCCACCCAATACCCTACGCCGTCAGTTAGTTCGAAACCGCCTCTATGATCGTTTGTGCAGCTCAGAAACCTGTATGATCTGTCCTAACGGGATAGACGGCGATTGCATGAGTTTAGGTATAATATACTTGATCTCATGTAATGCATGCGGCGAGGAATATATCGAGGAAACGGGTAGATCACTTTGTGTCCGCATAAAAGAACATCTGCATGGGAAAGCTAAAATCCGTTTAAACACCCTCTAGGTACGCATAGGCCAGAAAAGCACAACGGTGATGATTTTGAATTGAATGTGCGGATCCTAGCGCAGGAATCAAAAACATCAACGCGCAAAACTCTTGAGGCGTTTTGGATAAATTTCAAAAATCCAAAGATGAACCGGAAGGACGAATGCCTCACTATCACACGTGACCTGGCGCCCTATTTCAAAATGATATTTTNGGTACGCATAGGCCAGAAAAGCACAACGGTGATGATTTTGAATTGAATGTGCGGATCCTAGCGCAGGAATCAAAAACATCAACGCGCAAAACTCTTGAGGCGTTTTGGATAAATTTCAAAAATCCAAAGATGAACCGGAAGGACGAATGCCTCACTATCACACGTGACCTGGCGCCCTATTTCAAAATGATATTTTAATCCCGAGGCGTGTCTGCTCGCGACTCCACGTGATCGTGTGGGGCAGTCCCGCATGTAACATCACGGTGAGTGGCCTTTCTGTTCGATATGGCGCCTACTTGAAAGTTTGATCTTCATTAACACTTTAACCTTTTTTCCACCGAATAATGAAAATATTCTAATATAAAATACGTCCAGACTCTGAGGAAGGCGATGTCGCCGAAACGTCAGCCATCGTTCAATAACATCAAAAACAACGACAACGACAACGAAGATCTGTACCAACCTCGCGTCAGCTTAAGAAGATCAGTTTCTAAGATCACATAAATAAATATATCAACTATCTATGCCGAGGTTCATAGAAAGTCGGTCTTTCGAGTTATTAAGAAAGCGTGTAGCTACTTGGCATTGTCTACTTTTCTTTTAGGTAATAAAGTTAATAGGCGTGCGTGGCGCGGTGGTCGGAGACAACCTGCAATATGCATGGGATCGATCCTCACACCCTGGGCCCACTAGGCCTTCGATCCCTGCGGGGTCGGCAAATTGGTACCAGACTTGTCTGCGAGGATAGCAGCATTGGCTCGACAAATCGATACGTCACCGCTACTTATTTTAAATGCCAGATTTGCATTCAATCACCACAAATGATGCGTAATGAAGTCGAATACATGGCGCATACCTAAGGAATTTATCAATGCCAAAAGCTCAATACATTATTAATAGAGTTAATCGCGACATGAGATATTCTGGTACAAAGTTGAAAGCAGAAATTATTTTCGCATCGCATTAATCATATATTATCCACTCAGTTATGAACGTGTTAAAGAGCGAAAGTGAAGAAAAAACTTGTACTTCCAGGGCGGAAGGATAGAACATTTGTTCAGCGTCACTGACATTGGATATAAACCGAGTAATAAGGCTTGTATCAACAATAGAATCCTAAAAAGAATAGTAAAACACGATTTGTGTTAACCTAAAAACATGAAAACATGAGAAAAATACCTTCACTAATGAAAAGTCCTCATCTTTAAGATGCACAGGTATAGGATGAACTAACGACATAAATGCACATTGCTGAGCAGCTGTTCCATCATGAACGACGGATCCTACCATACGCTCGTAGTAGTACGCATTGAGATCAAACAGGCCCCCCTACAAAAGTCAATCATTGTCGACCAGAAACGAATTCAATAGATGAAATCAAATTTAAGTGAAAAGCATTGTCCACGTTCACTCATTTTCTAAACATGACGATCTAAAAAACAGTTGAAAAATATAGCGTAGATCGTTTCGCAAACAAACTGGCATAAAAACAGAACCTTCAGACAGCACCCATTCCTATCACTGGCGACGTATGTGAAGAAAACTAACGACTTATCTTTTTCGGGACCTAAAAAATTTAGTCCATGATAATATTCTGAAGAACAATATTAGCAACATTAAAACAATAATATCCTCCCAACGGTCTTCTCTGAATGGCTCATTCACTTTTTACAAAAAGCGATTGAATTTGTTGTAGCGTATAATATAGACCTCCTAACGGTTTACCGCCCCATAATGGCTGCAAGGTGTTCCTTGGTGTTGGACTGCGATATACAGCAGAGAGATTCGTGCCTCCAAAAAGATCTCCCAAGTCGAGGAGTCCGGCGCTTCCACCAGGAAACCCATTTGAGAGTAAACCAGTACCAGGATCTATAACCGTCCTCGTAGCCAACTTGCCCCATGGAGACAAGCGACGACTGCCTGTGGTGGTGACGAACTGGGGCAGACTTTAGCCAAGCTGACTTCGGGACTCTAAGGAAACACAGTGGCTAAACTCTCTGAGTCTCTGAAAAGTGGAGAATGTGCTGGAGTTCGCACAACCAGTGAGGACGAGTCGTCCAAATATCCAAATAAGTGAAACAATAATACTACCTAATCTAAAGCTGTCTCTAGCCGAATCGTCGGGACTTCGAATTTCGGCGCGTTCCTTCACAAGAGTCTGCAGAGAGACCCACCGAGATGAACTATGAAATGGAATCTGCAAACGTTTTCAATCACGTAGAAAACGTCACAAATTTTTTCGAAAAACACGTCACTGATTTCTTCCAACTTTAAACAATATATTCTTCGAAACATAGCCGTCACAGTTAAAATCAGTTGGATTTCATTTCTCAAATGATTATAGCAACTTCTCCAACGAACTGCTAAACGAATAACAAAGTATAACAGTAGGAAAGTGCAGGGTCATTATGACATAAGTGCGGCTGATGGAAATCAAATCACTAGAAGTAACAAGTCACTGTAATAACTGGAAAAACTAAAATGCACGACAAGGAAAAGGAACAATAACGTAGACAGATTTTCTAAAGACACTGTTCGCTATAATGAACATTACAACTTACTACTAGCTTGATGACGAAAAATGGTCTATCCCATGTTCGTTCACTTAATGGGTGTGACTCTTCTTCAGGAAACAAGACTTGAAATAAGCAGAGATGCAATGGCTTCGTTATGGTGGTGCTAAACTATATATATGTATATATGTATATACATATGTATACACACACGTATATGTAGATATGCATATACACCTATACATATATGTATATATATCATAATGCGTATATATATATATATATATGTATACGTACATACGTGTACACATACGTATAGAAAATAGAAGGATAAAGCTCTCGCCGTTGATCAATCCCTCAGCAATGCGCCATGCATTCGACTTCATTAATCATCGTTTGGAGGTGATCGAATGCACATCTGGTCTTTATAATATAATGACTTGCGATGGCCTACCGAGGTATCGAATCAGTGCTGCTATGCCGCTTGACAAGTCTGATAAGAATTTGCCGACCCCGGAGGGATGGAGGGCTGGGTGGCCATGGGGTGCGGGAATCGATCTCATGTGTACTGCAGAGCGCTTCCGACCACTGCGCAAGAAACGCCTATACATATATACGCAAAGAAGAATATGTACATGTATATACGCATACATATATGTACATATGTATATGTATGTGTGTATGCACATATGTTTTTATATACACATGTTTATGTATACATACCGTCACCAGAACGATAACGACGGAGTAACAGAATAAAATGGAGGATAACATTAATAGTTTTTAAATGAACGTACCCATAAGCGACGAAAAACCACAATTGCGCACGGGGATCGTCGTCAGGTTCTAGTGGTGATATGAATTGAACTGGAGCACTACATGGGTATATCAGAGGGTCTCTGAAGTGACGTTTTGGAAACACAAGCGTAAATTCTTCATGTGATGCAACCGCACTTCATTATAACTTCTGGACTTTCAAATTGCAAAAACCATTGAAAATGCTTACATTCTGGGACAGCTGCTCAAAGATATCGACATGATACCACCGAACGAAAAGCCAAGTAGAACAGTACGACTTCGTTCCATAAAACTGATACAAGAAACATAAACCAGTTCTGAAAAGACCTGGGAGATTCGTCATCGAAACCAAAATAATTTCATACTTATAGCTTTTATACTGTTTTCTAAATTTCTGCAAAACAAAATGTAAAACATATTTAGTAAAAATTCAGAGAACCAATAACAATGACAAACTGTACCTCTGCTTAATCGCTTCGATTGTGTGTTTCCCGTGCAATCACCATCGACCATATAGACAAACGTATCACCATCGTGAAAAGACTCTGTTAAGACTAAGATGAACGAAATATAGTACCTATTGCAAGGGGCTCCGTTTACTACGAAAACTTAGGTAAAACAAATTATAGGAAAGCAAACGATCGACTACACAGTATCCAATGCAAAGGGTTACTCACGATACCTAACACAGAGGAAAACACGAAATGGTTTTGTTATGCCCACTAAAGGTTCTTTGGTTCAGTATACGTAGTACAGTACGACTTCACAAAGTAAGATTTTTTTCATTTTTTATGTGACTCGTCCTCACGTCTACTGTGCGAATCCGAGTATTTCTCATATTCGATTCGTTTCCTGGCATCAATCACCCACGAAGTTCTTCCAACTTTCTAACTGTGGCTTCTGCCAGTGGTTGAGAATTTCCATTTCATCTTGAATGTCGTAAAATGCCGGTCAAGTCGATTCTCTCTGGAATCCTGACATAGCCGGACTGGAGCGCACTCAGTTGGACTGTAGGGTGATTTTTTCCCGGACGAGTCCGGTACAAATTTTTCGATCCTGGAAGGATTACAGGCTTGGTTGGCCCGCAGCGGAAGCGAATTAGCACCATACTCGTGATGGCCGACATCACTAACACTGTGCTATCTGCCCCAAAGCAAGAATTAACTGATTAAAACATGAAAAATCCAATATGGATAGCAACAGAAAAAGAAGAAAAAGCAACAACATCAGAAAACCCCAGCACTAACTTAGCCCATCCGTTAGAGTGCCAGAAAGCGGAACATGAACATCATCCTTCTGCTGTTGTTGTAGTTGATCGAAATGAAACAGATAGCAGTGAGCATAACGAGTTCCTGAAAACAAAACTCATATACTAAGAGATGTTTAGAAACAAGAAAATATGTGAATCGTACCAACAGCAACAATATGTGGCCACGAAATCATCTTAGGATGGAGGAGTGGACTCAGATGAATCATGCTCTCATCATCGGCCACCACTTTCAAACACGTAATCTAAACTTAAACATTAGTCAAATACGACATGAAAATTTTGCACATTCTAGGAGATGATTCTTAGAGGTCGAACAAAAAAACAATGCAGCGAAAAAATGAACTGTACTTCTTGATCCATTTTTAATTTCCGAACAAGTTGTAGCTGAGCACCATTCCAACGAAGAAGGGCAACACAGTGAGGATGGACGCTTATTCCTGTACTGTTCAGTGCCACGACAAAACCATATCCACCATCTTTAACGTCTTAGTAAAACAAGAGATTAATTGTGGAGACAGGAGTTCAAGCCCACCTTCGCACCGTATATACTCAATGTCCTTAACAGTTAGTTCCTCCGGAAACACATAGCGAGTCTCCGACCGATCTCCCGAAGGACGACAAAGGGCAACGCAGTTCGCGCAATGCAGCGCAATAAAATTCACGAATTCTCCTTAAAATACGACTTCAGCTAAACGAATCGATGAAAACAGAAAATGCCATCACATAAAAGTATGGACTAACACATAAAACTTGAAATAAACACATCATAAAAAAAAGATAACGTTCTCAGCGTTGATCAATCTCTGAGGGTTGTGCCATGCATTTGACTTCATTAAGCATCGTCAGATGTGATTGAATGCATATCTGGCTTTTACTATGACTCATGGTGGCCTACCGAAGTATCGAGTCAGTGCTGCTATCCTCCCACAGTGTCTGGTAACAATTTGGCGAGCCCGGAGTGATGAAAGGCTTGGTGGGCCACGCTCACACGGACCGATCCCATGTGTGTGTCGCAGGGCGCCTCCGACTACTACGCCACATGCCCCCACACTTGGAACGCACCGTAACGGATATTTTTTGCAAAACTTCGCAAGACTCTCTAAAAGACTGATCCCAGACATATCTGGTGAGTTCGAAGCGATGGGAAACTTGGCTGGCCCAGTGCGGGTTCGAACCAGAGTCCATCCGTGTATTGCATCGTCATCCTTAACTATTGGGATTCCTATGTCCATCAAGAGAATTAACGGAAAACTTGGAAGCAGTTATTGAAGCGAAGTAACCAGACACGGTCAGGATTCTATTTCATCAAGAGAGCGCCAAATCCCGTATGTGTAAGAACTTTTTCTGCTTGAAAACCTATAAAACTGCTCGCGAACCAAGAGACGGAAAACGGTCATCCAACAAGATGCGTGATACCGTTTTAAAAAACCTGCCACTGTTTCTATCACATTTCCTTGAAATTGCTTCCCGAATGGAAAGTAATGAACATCCACAATAACTAGACATTAACTAAACAGAAAAATAGATTCTTCCAACTGTGATGAAGCGAATGGTGTCATAAGCAAATACCCGCTTCAGCGTTAACTGATAAAGGAATTTACAAAATGTGATGCTGTAAATGAAAAATTGACGACTTACGTCAAGTAAATGCAGAAAATCGAGGTAGTAGTGCAGCAGTAGTAATTTGGCACAATACGAATAAGGGGCTGTTGGAACGCCACACCAGGCCAAAAAAACTTCTAGCCACTTTGAGAGTTGAAATTGGTACCGGAACTGTCTGGACTGGCTCTAATCCCTCCAGTGAATGTGAGAATGCCCTAGTACGACTGTTCAAGAATTCCAGAGAGAATCGACTTGAACAGAATTCAACGGCATTCATAAAGAAGTTTTACCTTCCACATTACATTCTACAGGCAGATGCTAAAGCAAACGCAGAAAAATTTAGACCATCGTGGATTATGGGCAGGTGGAAGCAAAATAGATGTAATAAGTGCTGGAATACGCACAATATGTGATACTGAGTGGTGCTAAGTGGAAAGCAGCAAGAATTAATAGTTTCTGTAAGAAATCCCTCAAGTCAGTTAAATAGTGTTGCCGAGTATTCTTTTTTTGATGAGCTTACACGAGGTTGATAATGATGTTTATTTTCGGCTAACGTTTCGACGTCTTCGTCTTCCTCAGAGCCGATGATCCGAGTCGATGGTCCTCGCTTGTGGTGTTGCCGAAGTGTTGCCGAGTATCAACAGCGAGGTACTGATTTGATCGCGCTCCGAGTCCATCAAGCCTCTCACTCCTTCGGGCTAGGAAATTAGTTCCAGACTTGTCTAGGAACAGTTTACTCTCTATAGTCTAAAAGGGAATGTTCTAGTTCTGCTATATCAAGCTTCAAGGAGAACCGACTCAGCTAGTATTCGACGACATTGAAGATAAAAGCAAAATACTCAAGGAGCAGTCGAAGCGACACGTAAAAGTTGGAAGTGCATAGTGGATGATGGAGGCGAGTAAACGAATGTGAGAAGTGTTGGGATCCACACAGTAGATGTGGAGACGGTTCGCACAAAATGAAATTTAAAAAAATCTCAACTAAACCAGAACATGGGGCTAGATTTCAACTACAAGAATCTTTTCTAGTGTTGGCAGGATTTAGAATGAATGCTCAGTTCGAATTCTGTTCTGGACGTAAAATCCAGCCCACTTGTGTTAAGATGACAACCGTCGTTAGCCTGTAAATCGTCGCAAACAAGGCCTTATTCCCTACGAAAGAACTTATTTATAAGCTCCGAAAAAGATTACAACTGACCATGAGCAATCTAAGATTTACACTTCATGGCAGCCCAACTTATTAACAAACAGTATTGACCAGCTATCTGTTAAGAGCGCGACAGGGGATCAAACCCCACGCCCAGGGCTCACAAAGTCTTGCATCCCTCCGGGGTCGGCAAATTGGTAACAGACTTGTCTGGGAGGATAGCAGCACTGTCTCGATACATCCGCAGGTCACCGCCAGTCGTAAAGACCAGAGATGCATTCAATCACCTCCAACGATGCTTTATGAAGTCGAATGCATGGCGCATCCCTCAGGGATTGATCAACGCCAAGAGTTTCATCCTTTACCCTTTTATTGACCAGCTATACATACCTTGGAAATATGTCATCGATAATTACCGAAATTACATCCCGAGATGGAATGTTTTAATTTTAAAAATAAGCGCAATCCTACAAATCTTCCTAAACCCAATAAAAAAAACTGAACCAACCGGAACAGTTCCTGAAGAACTTCACGTTGCAATCAGAACCCTTGCGAATGTCGAGATATTTAGAGTACTCGAGTTGGTAGCCACTATGATGCGGAAGAAACTTCTGCCGCAATGGATCTGGGACCCTTTCGGGTGGCATCTCAACTGTCAAAAATAACAAAAATATGACAGTGGCAAAACAACAAAAACATCCAGACTTTAGAAGAAATTTTGGAAGAGAAGGAGAAAAACATATTTTTATGTAAAACATGAAGCGAAAGGCCACAGGATTGAGAACATTTCGAAAACGATTCTCATCGAACATTCAGGAAACTAAGGTTAAAAAAAATAGCTGAGGTCCCCAGGACGTCGGCTGAATTCCCACAGCGACCAGACGCAGAGGCCGAAAGGGCCAAGCGAGAGAAATCAAAATGAACGCTATTCGCGGCACGAAGGTTGTACGGTGAAGTGTCGTCGCGTGAAAATTCAATTGTAACCTTCGCTTCACTTCAGTGGATTATCCTACGAAGGTTGTTTCCTCGGGATTAGAAGAGCTTGTGATGTGTTGATTTCGTATCCCTCCTACACGTTCTCGTACATCCAGACTTTGTCAATGTGGTGGAACAATGAAATTCAACGAAATAAGTAGTAACTGACGCACTTTAGATTCCTTTTTGCGCTATATATCAGTAAGTCCTTTTGGTGGATACTGGCACTTGGGCGTTGCAAGTTTCCTCAGAGATTAAGCTGGAAGCGGACCGTTGTTTGTGTCCCTTTAACGGAGAAGATGTTATTGATCCCTACGCATTTTTGATAGAGATCTTCCCTTTCTAAGACGAACGCTATGAATTGTCCTGGTTTTTGTTCACAAACTCTCACGTGTGCCCGCAGAACTATTCCAGTTGGTGTTTCGACTATGTCGCCGTGTCGACAGCAGTACTGATCTGAGTCTTGTTTGCAGTACCGATGTTTCCCATGATGTGTTGGTCTTCGTATTGAACCGAGTAGAATGAAATTCTGAATGGATGAAGAAGCCTGTTCTGATAACACCACTAAACTTGTCAGTGAACCACTACATTGGTTGTTCGTGTCAGATTGGATGGTGTCTTTTTTAAAGATATATCTGTTTGTATACTGGTTGAGAGAAAGGCAGACGTGAACTCCGGAAAGGGCAGTCGAGGTTCGATCTGACCTGGGGTCCAAGTTTTCCGAATATTTCGACATAATTGTTATATCCATTGTATTTTCTGAAATCTCAGGTTTCTTTTTTACAAACTTTGAAGTCTTCGTTGCAATTTCGTATTAAGGTGACCTCTGGAAAGAACCGTGTACAGTGGCTTATTGTTTGAACAGTGCACAGCTGCACGTACGAGCTCATCGGTCCCTCCTACGTCCCTGTGGCCGAGCCTCGCTGCAGGCCTTCCACCGTTCTCCTTCCTTCCACTGTCGTCCCTCCGTCTTCACACTGTCCTCCCATTGTCGTCACTCCGTCCTCCCACTGTACTCTTCCATCCTCATGTCGTCATTCGTGCTGTCCGAATTTCACGTCCGGCACAGCGACGTGAACGAGACCGTTCCGATGCAGCCGAACCTCATGGGTTCTTTTGCGTTTCATTTAACTTCATTTGGAAAGTGCACCTCGTCGTTCCACATGCTGTCCATCGTGACAGAACCAACAGCAAACGCAGATTGTATAAATCTTTGTGAATTCGTAAAATGACAGTATCACCTGTATCACTTGCAGGCATCACGGCAGTGGATGACAATGTACTATTGGTTGATACTATTGAGGAGTCCTTATTTAGGTTGTACTCTCTAAACATGTATGTGAGAGCATGTGGCGTTTCCGGTAAAGAAGCAAAATACATCTGAAGTATTGTGGAGCTCCACGTTTTCGCACTGGTGTTGGAATCAGCACGCACAGTACCTGATCAAAGACTTGCAAGGCTAAGAAGGACGTGATGGTGGACTTGTTTACTCTAACGATCCTGTCAGTAGCTGGGTAATGTAGATCGTCTCCGTAGTGCAGTAACTTTCCTTCTGAGAAGTCCACCCAGCCACTGCCTAGTTCCAACGGTTGGACTGAATCTTGTGTTCACACTTGTAGGTCGTCACTGTGATTCATAGGGACTTATGTGAGTAGTACATTGTGTCTCCTATTTTTCCCTCTTTGTTCCTGAAAGGTAATGTTATGATGGCGACGCAGGACTTGCGGACTACAATTTTCGTGTCATGTTATTGAGAAGAGTAGGACTACCGTGTTGCTCGAAATTCAGTCAATTCAGTTTTTGAAGGGGGAATTATTTCTAGCATTCGGCTTTGTCCATTTTACTCTGACCATCTTTTTCCGCTCCCATTGGAAGCGCTACCATCAGCGGATTGGTGTATAGTATCACTGAGTGTAAGCATTCTTGGTCATATATTAAAGCAGTACTATATCCACATGTAGCGCAGTGGTCGGAGGCGCCCTGCGATGCGCACATTGGACTGATCCCGCGCCCATGGCTTACCTAGCCTTCCATCCCTTCGGGGTTGGCAAATTGGTACCAGACTTGTGTGGGAGAATAGCAGCTCTGGCTCGATACATCAGGAGGCCACCACGAGTTATAAAGGCCAGATATGCATTCATTCACCTCCAACGATGCTTAGTAAAGTCGAATGCATGGCGCATTCCACAGGGATTAATCAACTCCGAAAGCTTTATTTTTTTTTTACCATTCCCACCGATGGTAATCCACTTATACGATAGCACTTTGGCCTTTAAACTTTTCATGTCCATAATTATTCGTCTTGACGAAGAAGCAGATATTCTTTTCACTTGGGTATCAAGCTCTTTGTCTAGGTTTGTACGTTGTACCCTCTATAGCTCTTCCTAGGTTTTCACGTATATCCAGTACTGAATCCTGGCACATTCTAACCTTCAACCCCTTTATTCGGATTTACAGTTTCTCTGAGCACTACTGGGTTTACGGTTGAGTAGATTTCGTCCATATGTTTTAGTTCCAAGTACTTCAGTCAGAATCCACCGTTTCATCCCAGCATTTCCAGTGGTGGATCGTTGACTGCAATGTCCACGTGGGCTACCCTTTTTGAGACCATCGGTTTTCCTCTCCTTTCGTCCAGATGATGTAATGTGAATGACTCATTTGATGGATGGTAACATGCAGCGTCCACTTTGTTGCCTGGTGTTTTCCTGCTCCTTGAAATGGAAACGAATCAGTTCGCCTGGCCAAGCCTTCACGGATTCTTCTGAGGCGATTGTTGTTTTCCCTGGCAACGGTCCTCATTCACGATGGCCGAAACTGTCGCTCCAATATGGTTGATAGCTATTTCTTCCTAATTCCCGATGTCATGGTTTCAAGTGATATTTCCCGTAGCCGGTTTTCTTGAGGTGGTTCTGGGAGTGATGATTTCTAGCGAGGAATCGGTGTTCTCTGTCGAACTACATTCGCAGTATCCACGCAGTACTGCTTTCGTTTTGCTTGTTTTTGTCCGTATCATCGAGCAGTGTTGTGGTTGACACATACGTAGATGTTGAAGACGTGCCGTCAAACTGATCACGCAGAAGGTACGATTGTTCCTGATTGCGTTGTCATCCATCTTGTAACTGCAGTAGATTATACAGTACAACTTTTTATTTACTGCCTATTACATGGTATTATATGAAGTGCAACCACGATGATCCTGGGATATTTGCAAAAATCAGGTCGCAGGCCAGATTCGAACCCGAGACATTTTTTTCACGAGGCGCTTGTGCTACCAACTGCACTACTGAGGCTTTCATTCTACTGTTCTCTCGGCCAGTTTTTCTACCCTAATCCTGAAAGGTTAATATTAGGTTCGAATCTGGACTGGGATCTGAGTTTTGCAAATATCCGTGCATCATTGTGGTTGCAGTGGATTAGTTTGTAACCGTTGGCAGCATCGAGGCCTTCCATTGTGCAAACTGTGTCCGCCTTTTTTCTAAAAACGCAGTCGATTTGCCTTTTTTACCCGTTGCGGTTCTGGTGTTTATGGATCTTAGGTGAACCACGGTTTTGTGCCATCATATAATCCACTTTTAATCGACCTTGTCGAGTAGCCAATATCCCAAGTACATTAGTTGCCTTACCCATGCTATCGTTGGTATCCGTTCTTTTTGTTCTTGTTGAGCAAACGCGAGCTTTTAGTTTATTTCTTCATTACGGTGAAGCTGACGTCTCTGCGAACTTAGTCTTCCTGAAAGCTTGGAAGTGCAACGACGCAATTCTGTGTTCAATGTGGTTGACATCTTGGTTTAGCGCCTTCTCTGTTTGGTTATGGAGGTATTTGGCTGGGTAGTTTGCGGTCAACATGACCTTTCCAGGCTGTGAGGAGGGCGAAATCCTCCGAAACATCGGCTTTTCCGTCACAAGAAGATTAGAAGGAATTGTTGCATCAGTGCCGAGGTTGATAGAAAGTCGTGGAAATTATTAAATGGTACCCATTACTCACATAAGCTCCGTATTCCTTTCTCCTCCGCTGTTCTCCTCATTCGTCTTACGGCGACTCTCCTTAATTCTTATGTGCTAAGGTTGCTGCCTAGTGCTAGTATGATTTCTCGTACAGGCTTCTTCAAAGAAAAATGAAGCAAAATGAGAAAGGAGCGATTTGGTGTGTCGAGGTCCTTGTGCAGCTGGTCGTCTACTTCCTAGTGCCTTGAAGTCCAGTTTTCCCAAAGATGACGTAGGCCTATGCCCACTTCGGAAACCTTACTGATAAGTTTTGTTGGTAAGGTTGAGAAATTTCTGAAATTGAATCCTTAAACACTAAATGAAATTGTTAAATGAGATAAATTTGAGGTTAACTCTGGCAACTGCCATGGTTCTTTTCTGTCTCCATTTCTTTTGGATTTCATAGCCGTCGGTATTTCCTAGGTTGATTCTGTTGTCCCGATTTCAGAATGGAGGAAGGTTGATCTGTGGTTGAAGATGTCACTGAATCGGTCTATGCATCCACGTAATCCCTACAAGGAGAGCCCTCCGGACTTCAACGATCTCGCTACCCGTTTCCCCGATTTTCGAGCTCATTGTACCCTTGGAAACAATGGTAGGGTAAGTTTTCATACGTGATTCCCCACGTTTCTCTCTTACATGATTGCTCCGCCCTTTGCTCCGATCTATGTTTTTGTTATGATTTATTATATCACTTTTCGAACCACTTTGAACTATATGTTTTGCTGGAAAAGAACATAACAATATTTCAAAGTATTCGGCTAGCGTTTCGACGGTATTGTCTTCATCAGAACCGATGATTCGAGTTGACAGTCCGCTGCGGTTCGTGTTCTTGAGGTGGCGTCTTCGTTGCGCATCGAGCTGGATCTTCCTCAGTGGAATATCTCGCTCTAGTGAGCCATACTCACTCGGTGATGCTCTTTCATACACCGGACAATCATTACTATCAACAACCAGCATCCTGTATGAAAGAGCATCGCCGAGTGAGCATAGCTCATTCGAGTGAGATACTCCACTGAGGAAGATCCGGTTCGATGAATGACGAAGACGCCACCTCGAGAGCACGAGCTACTGTGGACCGTCAACTCGGATCATCGGTTCTGACGAAGACGATACCGTCGAAACATTAGCCAAGTAAAAATTATCTATCAACCTCGTGTAAACTTATCAAGGAAAATATATACGTATACATACATATATATATGTGTACATATGTATATATATATATATATATATATATATATATACATGTTTTGCATTTTCTTTGTACAAAATTTATTCAGGTTTTCGTGAATTTTCAAGAAGATGGGGCAGTGCGCTCTCTAACCAAAGCTTTGCTAAAGAAAGATTTCGATCTTGAGGTAAGGTATAACCCTGTTCATGCTATATTTTGATAATTTGTTGCATTTACTAATTTTTGTATTTAGGTCGAGCTTCCACATGGTTGTTTAGTTCCACGCGTTCCTCAGCGCTTGAATTATATTCTGTTCATTGAAGACTTGTTAAAACTAAACCAAATTGAGAATAATGTTATTGGTATTGATATCGGTTAGTTAGTTATCTACTTCTTGCTGTTATTCCCACTTAGGGTCACGTGTGGAGCAGTGGTTGGAGGTGCCGCTGCGACACACACGTGGAATCGATCCACGCGGCCATGGGCCACTAAGCCTTCCGTCCCTCCGGATCGGCAACTTGGTACCAGACTTGTCTGGGAGGATTGCAGCACTGGCTCGATACATCGGTAGCCCACCGCGAGTCATTGTAAAGACCATATATGTATTAAGTCACCACCAACGATGATAAATGAAGTAGAATGCATGGCGCATCCTTCAGGAATTGATCAGCGACGAGAGTTTTATCCTTTTATTTATTCCCATTTAGTTAATTTAGATGCGAATGTGTATCCAATATGAGGACCACATTCCCCAGTGGTTTGGCAACCTCATAAAGGGTTTCATTGCTTATTCTAGGCACAGGTGCTTCGTGCATATACGCCCTGCTTGGTGCCCGCTGGGCGGGTTGGAAATTCTTCGCCACGGAGACGAACACCAAGGCTGCGGAGGCGGCTAATGCAAACGTCGTTCGAAATCGGCTTGGCCATCTCATACGTGTCATTCATATCAGCGAACAATCCACGACATTAATCAAGGCACACTTTGATGACCCTTTGTTCGTGCATCGCGCAAATTTTGCTTGTATTTGGTGTCTTCAGGATTTATCACGGCGGTTTATGGATTTACAGTTCACCTTTTGTATGTGTAATCCCCCTTTTTTCGAGTCATGTGAAACAAGTAAGGTACGGTTTATTGCTTTTATTTTTCTTTTTAATTAATTATGTTACATCTATCTTCGTTGACTATGCAGTCATCATGATTAGCGGTGACTTTTTATTGTTCAAATTAATCGAAAAGGCCTTCTTTGGTGAGGTAGATAGCACCTAAACTAAGGTAAGGGTAGTCGCACTTTAGAAGCACATCCGAGATTTCGAATTTTGCTCTTATCTCAGCATCCCCATGGTCGTATCTCACATCGTAACGTACCACGGGGGCGCGTATAGTGCAGTGGTCGAAGGCGCCTTGCAATACACATGCAATCGGTCACTCCGCTCCAAGTTCACCAAGCTCTCTATCCTTCTGGGGTCAGCAAATTGGTTCCAGACCTGTCTGGGAGGATAGCAGATACATCGGTAGGCCAGCCTAAGTCATTATAAAGGTTAGATATGCATTCAGTCATCTCCAAACGATGCTTAATGAAGTTGAATGCATGGCGCATCCCTCAGGGATTGACCAACGCCGAGACTTTATCCTTTGTCCTTTATGATTAACCGGCCACGAAGAAAAAAAGCGGATAGGTCGTAAATAGGTGGTAATAGAAGCATTACTCTTTAACTTTTCATGCTTATCGATGTGACATACATCACTTTTTACAGCGATTTTCTTTTGATAAAGCTTCTGGAGCTATGATAAATGAAAGCCCAGATGATCTCGACGTCCGGACTCCTCCGCGTTCTGCTACGTTGGCTCAGCGTGGAGAACTAGAAGTTGATGTGTGTGCAAGTTTACCTTTATCCCCGTACAGAATATATCTAATAAAACAGATTTTTAATCCATTTTTTTCGTGGTTTCTCACTGCTTAGTTTTTTTCCACTGATATTTTCCCAAATCTGTTTTTTAGGGCGGAGAGGTGGCGTTCATTGGAAGGCTCATTGATGAAAGTGTGCTGCTACAGACGCAAGTCAGGTGAAGACTTGCATTGTTTTCTTTGAAACATAACGGCCACACGTTGGGTAAAATGAACTGAATGCAAAAATAACCAGTTTTGATTTGCATATCTCACCTCTTAACAAGCTCTTCTTAATTACATGGACACATGGATGATCTGTCTTCACTGATTGTGTGGGCGCCAGCAATTCCCACTGTTTCAGAATTGCTAATTTAGCTATTGTAGTTCTTTAGAGTCCCGAGGTCAGCCTGGCCAAAGTTTGCTCTAGGTTGTTACCACCACAGGCAGTAGCCGCGCTTGTGGATCAGAGAGGGATTTTCCGCCATTCGATTGGTTTGATGTCAGGATGTTGGTGAATTCTGGTATTGGTTTACTATTGGTTGAGCTTCTTGATGGAAGCGCTGAAGTCCTTCTCAGCTTAGGAGGCCCTGCTGGGGGAGGGTTACCGCCGCTCTACATCGCAGCCGGACACCCAGGAACATTTTCCAGGCACGACCAGCCAACGGTAAACCGTTGGGAGGATAGCAAGCTTTACCAGTTGTAATAGGAATTGTTAGAATCTACAGATCTTTGCCAGTATGACATGATGTTGCGCAATGCCTTCGTCTATTGCTGCAGCTGACACTTCGGGAATTTTAAAAATTTGAATTTTGTTTTCAATTCTCCTACAAATTTTAAATTCTAAGAATACTTGATATCGAAGGAATACTACATGAAAAGTGATGACCCTATCCCTTGGAATTCGCTAGTTTTCTAGTCCTCAGATATTCCATTGATTGAGAAATCATCCTCAGTTTTTGAAAGACCAGCTTCAGGAGTTTTCTACTGGAGCTTGTGAGATCACTGGCATCTTATCATTTAAAAATAGAGATATTCCCTTCAGCTGATAATACAGTGATATAATTATGTTGCCATTATATTCCTGCACGTTGTCGAATGGCACAATTGGGCACCTCTTGAGTCTCTATTCGTCTCTGTCACTGATCAAAGCTACGCTAGCTTGATAAGGTTACATGAATAACATCACAACTTTGTTAATATGCTTTCCTTTACTGCTTTTGATAGGAAATTAGTCGTGGGTAGCTCATCTGCTCCTACTGTCGTATCGATTTACTCCTGGATGCGCTTCCAAGTAGAAATGCCAGACTCGGCGTATGTGCTCTTTTGGGTTATTATCTCTTCGTTATCTATCAGAGCGTCAGAGCTCGATATCCTGGAGTACCCTCTTATGACTACGAGCTCTTAAACCCACCGACAACTAATACTGCAGCGTACTTTATTTATATTTGTGTTATATATTTGGTCCGACTTCACACATTGTGCGGTTCTCATTACGTATTTAATCCAGTTCGTTGTCTGACACCCGCCACTAAAGAATCCCATCGAATTTTCGTATAGGTTCGGCTACCACTTGAAGACTTTGTTTTCATCGTCGTGCGATAGATTTACTAGAGCATGTTCTGGTCTGCTACCACAGGCAGTTACTGGGTTTTCTAAATCGGAGGGAGCTGAGAAGTACCAGTTTCCTGACCACGAAGCAATGATAGGATTGGTTGGCCTGGGCCACAGTCGAACCGGTGTTTACACGATTTTTACGTGGTATTTTTAATCACTGAACTTCCGGCGCCCTGGTAATCGGTATTAATCCGTTGCTCCTTATATTTATTATGTTTTTCTTATTTGATCCCCTTGTTTGATGACTTTATTATGCTTGCTATCGTTTGTATAATGTTCTTTCCCTCAGTGTTTTACTGCCGTATTATGGCTGGAGTGTTTTTGGATATGAGCCAAGGGCGATGCGCAATAGGGACTTAGCAGCGTTGCTCAACTTGAGGACGAATCCAACGAGAAAGAGCTCAGTGAGCTAGCGTTGTACACCTGCTTGAAATAAAACAGTAGAACAAAACATGTCAAAAGTATGGCGATATTCTGTGAGTTCTGGTTCTGATTGTGTAAGGGAATTTGACCTAGCAGCCACGGTTCGCGACTAGGTGATTGGGGTTTCTTGATATGAATTCGTCATATTTGGTGATTAACAGGACTTTGCGTAAGGTGGCGCAGTGGCTAGAAGTGTTCTGCAATACACGAGGGTTCGATCGCTCTTCCCGAGCACACCGAGGCCTCCATCCCTCTGTAGTCGGCAAATTGATTCCAGAACTGTTCGTGAGGATAGCACTACTGACTTGCTAGAACGGTAGGCTACTGCGAGTCATATGGTCCAGATTTGCTCTCAGTCGCCACCAGCGATGCTTAGTGAACTCGGACGCATGGCCCATCCCTTAGGCATAGGTCAACAACGAGATAGTTGTCGCTATTATTATGGGTAACAGATTTATTTCCTCTTATTATCTTGTTTGCTCACCTATTTCATTCTGGATGCAAAATTTACCACCTTTCATAGATTTTCATGTTTTCAGCATTTATACGACTATGCTTGGTAAGAAGAGTAGTATTTCTGTGTTGTGCCGTCGATTGTCTCGAATAGATGGAGTAAGGTACACCGTGTCAACATTGTCGCAAGGCAGGACTCTACGCTGGGTGTTAGCGTGGACTTTTTTGCCTCAAATTCATTTGGAAAATGTAAGGATTCCCTTTGTAAGTAAGATTTTTACAATTGCATAATTTTATTATGAAGTATTTTTCAGAAAAGTTTCTCTGCTCTTTTTCTTCCTTTCCCAGACAGTATGAAGACATCGCCGCTGCAGTGGATTAGATCTCATTTGGAACATCTTGGAATTGAAACGGAACACGAGAACCTTGATATGGTACGATTTGTGATTTTTTCTAATTATCCACTCATACTCCTCAAAGTTTTAGCTAATTTGTTCTGCTCGAAATGTAACGTGGACAAATCAACGTGCTAAACGACGAGCTGATGCCAAGCTGAACACACCAGCTATGAAAAGGATGAAGTGAGTTCTGAAAATATTAGAAAAGTCTTCAAATTAAGATTGTTATTTGTCTTGTGTTTCTGATTTGATGGCTTTTTTCCTTCAGTGCTGAAGTATTCAAGGTAGTCATAACTTATGAGCTAATTGTCTTAGAAAGTACCTCTCACTGGTTTACGGCCTCATCGTGGCTGGGTGTTCGTGGGTGTGGAGCTGCGATGTACAGCGGGGTGATTCATCTCCCCAGTAGGGTCTCCCAAGCTGAGAAGGAGTGGGCTGTGACTACCTGTGGTGGTGAGGACCTGGGGCAGACTTTGGTCAGGCTGAGTTCGGGATTCCAGAGAAACACGCTGGCTAAACCAGCAAATCTCCGGAAAAAGTGGACATTTTGCTGGGACGCGCATGACGAATGACGACGGGCCATCATGTATCCAAGTGAGTAATCTTAGAAAGAGAAGAGTTTTGTATTGTAGTACTGTAAAGGCTTGAAATGATGTTATTCGTCTTGCCGTCCCTGACAAAATGACAAGGCTTGTGGCCTTGATCAATTCCTTATGGATGTTCCATGCGTTCGGCTTCATTAACCACCATAGGGGTCATCGTATGTATACTTGGCTTTCACAATAACCTACTGTAGCCATTCTGCCGATTTCCAAGTAGGTGTTTTTATATCCCGTGAAAAATCTGATACCAATTTTCCGACCACTGGAGAGATGGTGAGCTTGGCTACCCGGAGGGCAAGGTTGGACCTACGACCTTTTCCATATTGCAGGGCACCTTTCAACACAATGCTACGCGCGCTTTATACTATTGCTGGAATGTTTCGAACCTCTCATTACGTTCTCGGATTGTTAAGCTAACAGGAGATCGACAAATAGATTTATTTCGCTATTGTTTCGACGTCTAATACGTTCGACCTTCTCTTTTGTTTCGACCTTTTACTGCTCTTGCCTTTCAAATCGATAATGACTCCACAAGCATAGAACTGCGTGGGTTGTTTTTCATAAATATCGGAAATAGGCGTGGCGCAGTGGTGGGAGGCGCCCTACAGTACAGACTTGGGATGGTTCCCCAGCCCGTAGCGTATTCGTTGGACGTTCCAGGTGTGTAGTCTCATCAATTGCTGGTCGTTCCATTACAATATATTTTCCTTGAAGCTGGTTTTTCTTTTTGAATTAGGTTTTCTTCGGATCGGATCGCAGTCGGAAGTTTTCTCGTTTTTCGAGAACTGCTTAAGCATCGACGTTGCTTCTATAATGCTGCTAGGAAAGATGACAATGTCGACGACAAAGGGAGTGTTGGAGAAGAATCGTCCATCAAACGCCTACTTCTTTGTTGTCCCATCGAACGACAGTATACACGGCTGTAGCACTGCGATGAACAAGCGATTCAACGTCTTTGTCCTCGTCAGAATAAATTAATTTGTCAACTTCGTGTTAGCTCAATTTTGACTATATTGTGCACTCCCCCCACTCCCTCCCCTCCCCTTCAAAAAAAAATTCCTTTACCATTTGGAATAATAAGGGGTGAACGAGAGCGCTGCATCGTCGTTGGGCGGTGACTGTTGTGGTCAGTAAGTGTTTTATGTAGATTCTGCTTATTTTATTATTTATGCATTTTATTCCTACGAGCGCCTATAAGACGCAGTTTTACCGTTCAGATTTTTGTTTCATAGGTTTTCAAATTCTGATGTTGGTATTCAAGTTTCAATGGGAGTCGGTGATGGACGAGACTCATTATCCAATTCGGGGAACTTTGAATCCTGCATTAGTATACCCAATTCCTACGGTCGTTTTGATGTACATACACAGGTATTTCCTCTTATTAGATTTTTCATTCGTATAATTAGTTCATAAAGACGTGTTTTGATTTCAGGCCTATTTCCCATGCCCAGTACGTCCATCGGTGTTACGTTTTCGTGTAATACATTTCCGAGAAAATTGTGGAATTTCCTTCGAGTATATTGACGGCTACAAACCAGGGTTATATCAACTGTTGCAATTTCTTAAAAATCAGATAAAATGACGGTTTAGTCTCCATAATAACGTAAAATGCAGTCAGGTGCTATTCAGATTCTTTTCACATATGTTTTTATGTAGAAATTTTAGCACCAGTAGTGTTCCATGGTGGCATCTTTGTTTGTCAGCCACCTACATGGCGCTTCTTGCTTTTTGTTTAAAAATTGTTTACAGGTTGTTCATGGTGCAGACATAATTTTATCCCCATCTGTTAACATTTTTTTAGTGTGCATAGTACGGTAGCTTTTCTACTAGCTTTAAATATCAAGCTTATGATCGTATACGTATGTATGTATGTATGTATACATATGTATAGAAGGGATGAGAAGTGAAATCTTCATGTAAAAACACGTTTTATATTCGTTGCTGATTAAATATTATGTGCTAATTGGTGTGTAAGAGCCACTTGGAAGCCCTTGTAGTTCCCGGGGAGGTTTACTGGACTGCGTAACAATTCTTGAAAATAAGGTCCACTCTGTACACTGTTTGACACCTTTTAACACCGCAATCAAGTGCCGAAGAACTGAGGTTGAAGTAAATCACAATGTATTACTTTTTATTTACTGCCTATTATTATTTTTCACGGCAGGTTATTGTGTGAAATACAGCCACAGCGATGCTAAGATATTTACAAAAGTCAGACGGCAGGCCAGATTCGAAACTCCGATTGACGTGTCCGTGGGCTCACATGTTATCCACTGCACCACTGAATCTCTCGTTCTGCCGTCTTCTCAGCCAGTTTTTTACCCTAACCCCGAAAGTCTAATCGCGGGATCGATTCTGACTTTGGGTCCTAGTTTTGCAAATATCTCAGCACCACTAAGGTTATGGTAGTTGACAGCGAAAAACATCCTTTATCACTATGCTGAATGCCAATCTTAATATTGGAAGACCTTAAGAACCGTTTAGAGTAACGTACCCATCTTCATAACAGTGTGAAAAAAAGAGAAGTATGACGGCTTCTTTTCAAAGCCATACATTCTTCGCAGGAACGGAAATCTAAGCGGAACAAACGGAAGTGAGAATGATGTGTTTTAGGCAATGTACTTTTTTTCACTGGTAAAGTTGGTAAAAAAAAATAACATTATTCGGCAAACATCTTGGCTACTTCGCCTTCCTCAGAACGCAGTTGAACTGAATTGATTGTCCACAGTTCTTCTTCCTCCGATGTGGATCTTCATGATCGCATCGAGTCGAATCCAATGAAACACCGCTCGAATGAAGTGGTCTCACCCGGCAATGCCTTTAAAAAAAGAAAAGTGTTCTCCAGAAAATTTGCTTCTTAAAGAGGTTTGCATAAAGTCAAGCGATGGTTTAGGATAGCAGTGAATTTGGTAGGATATCTAAGGCGGCGATTAGTCTGAACGAGTCCGCCGTTACTGTTTTTGTGTGCTATAAAATTCATAATTTATCGATTTTTAGCTTTTGCAGTTTATCGGTTTTTAGTTCTTACAGCAAGGAAAGTTCTAATACTCTCTTCTTTCCTAGAGTATCGACAGAGGTGAGAAATTGAGCTTATGCTTGTTCAAGAGTTAATTTGAACAAAGTGGTACTTATATTGGTACAGGTAATCTAGTAATTTGGTATCTACCAGTGAGGTGAGGCGATAATTTACTACTATTCTAGTTGGTCCTTATGCCTAGCTTATAGAATCAAACATTTGATGTAATGATGCTTTGGGTGTTTAAATTCATGCACAATTTTAGCAATTGAGACAATAAACACGAGAGGAAAAAAGGCTGGATAAGTGTGTGGGAGGAAGAGTCCCTTAAACTTTGAAATGATAAGAGTGGCGATTAAAGGATAAGGAATGAAGCTCTCGGGGTTGATCAATCCCTGAAGGATGCGGCATTCAGTCAACTCACTGAGCGTCGTCAGAGGTGACTGAATGCATATCTGACCTGTACAATAAACCGCGGTGGTATTGCCGATGTGTCGAGTCAATGCTGCTATCCTCCCAGACAGGTCTGGTATCAATTTGCCAACCGTGGACGGATGGAAGACTTGGTCAGTTTGTGGCGCGGGATCAATCCCATGCGTCTTGCGGGACACCTCTATCCACTGCGACATATGCGTCCCTTTGAGAGTGGAGGTTAACGAAATTGCAACCACATATTGAGGAGTACATTACTAGAGAATAACTGTACGATGTACAGCTCAAATGATATATTGTGTCGCTGTAAAGCCGCATACTTTAGCGCCAATGGTTAGACCGAGTGGCACGGTGGTAGTGATCCCACTCATTAAGCAGACTGTTCGAACTTCAGACTCGCGACATTCGTACGATGCTTCTCTGGGAAAAGCGCACTCCGTCGAATTCACGTGAGAATGCCCAAGCACGGCTATCTCAGGATTCTAGAGGCAGTTTACTCGACCAGCTTTCAACGATGTTCGCGGCGAGGACGAAGAAATCGTCGAGCAGCAACTGATGCCATGCGGATAGAAAAGTTCGAAGATTTTCATAGATGGTGGCGAGGAAACAAATCGAGTGCAGGAAATGCTGGTATACGCACAGTGTAATAAAATGTGTCGGGTCATGAAAGAAATAAATGTTAATGACTGAGCTTTCCGGATATTTCAGCTTGTTGTTGGCACGTAGGGTGGCAAACAATATCCTATCAACACTGGATATCTCATCAAAAGGCGGGAATCGATCAACACGCATCCAGTATTAAAGGGCATCGCTTAGTGAAGTTAACCATTCGAGCGGTGCATCTCCACTGGATAGTAATGATGTTCACCACTCAGCCCATACCGAGAAATTCCATGATTCCTTTACACTTCCTCTTTTTTGAACTCTTTCTCCAGAAGTCTTATTTATCACTACGCTGTTAAAATTGTTACCGTACGTGACTATCACAAAGGCAGTCTACAAATGAAAGTTTTCCTTAACTTCTATGCAAATAAATGGCACAAATGGGTTTTTTGCGCTTTGATTCCGAGGACACTGTGGAACTATCAAGTACATAAGCTCATGTTACTCTATAAGGATAGGATGCAACGCGAAATTTGAAGCTGTCTACCTATTGTCTGTCTTCATCTGCAGAGATTAACTTAAATTTGTGTTTATGAAACGTCATGATTGAATTTTATCCAGCGAAGTAAGGCTGCTCCCACAAAGGTTTCGGTCTGACCGTCAACATGTAGGCCACATATGGTATGTCAGCGTACTTGCGACGACAAGAAGTATTTTTTTTGCCATGTCTGTTATGCATTCAGGTGGATGCATATCGTCGTGGATTGCTAGCCTTACGTAAGTGTTGATGTTACTAGGTTCTCCAACAAATTAGTGTTGTTCCATTCTTGTGGCATAATTCGTCGCAATACGAATTAGCTGTCATCGAGTATTATCCGTGAATCCTTTAAAATCCATCGATTTCAGCTTCTGGAGTGGCTGGTTTGACTCTCATTTTCGTTAATCTAAAGCAAATGTTCAGACACAAGCGAACGAAGGTACGGGTCAACAGCAACGAACATCCGAAATTCATTAATCGCGGTTGTACTACTACAGAAGTATTTAAAAACATAATCCATGTTGAATAACTATCCTGGAGCTTAGTGTTAAGGTTATTATTCATTCCCCGTAATTCATGACGACAATCTGTAGAAATGGTTTCGAGATTAATTACCAGATAGGAGTCCAAAATCGGAGCATTTGTTCGCACTCGTGGAGTCCAGAAAGCGCATGATGACTGGATAAGAGTGGAAAGGAATATATCATAGCTGATATATTTATTTATGTGATCTTATAAACTGATCTTCTTAAGCTGACGCGAGGTTGGTACAGATCTTCGTTGTCGTTGTCGTTGTCGTTGTTTTTGATGTTATTGATCGATGGCTGACGTTTCGGCGACTTCGCCTTCCTCAGAGCCTGGACGTACTTTATGTTAGAATACTTTTTATTATTCGGTGGAAAAGAAGGTTAAAGTATTAATGAAGATCAAACTTTCAAATAGACGCCATATTGAACAGAAAAGCCACTCACCGTGATGTTACGTGCGGGACTGGCCGACACGTAGTCCACGTGAGCAAGACACGCCCCGAGGTCAAAATATCATTTTGAAATAGGGCGCCAGGTCACGCGTGATAGTGAGGCATTCGTCCTTCCGGTTCATCTTTGGATTTTTGAAACTTATCCAAAACGCATCAAGAGTTTTACGCGTTGATGTTTTTGATTCCTGCGCTAGGATCCGCACAGTTACTTCAAAACCATCGTTGTGCTTTTGTGCCCTATGCGTACCTAGAGGGGTGTTTAAGCGGATTTTAGCTTTCCCATGCAGATGTTCTTTTATGCGAACACAAAGTGGTCTACCCGTTTCCCCGATATATTCCTCGCCGCATGCATTACATGAGATCAAGTATATTATACCTAAACTCATGCAATCCCCGTCTCTCCCGTTAGGACAGATCATACAGTTTTCTGAGCTGCACAAACGATCATAGAGGCGGTTTCGAACTAACTGACGGCGTAGGGTATTGGGTGGGATGTCAACAATCGTTACATAATTTTCAAGACCACTTTTTCTTAAGCACTTTTTAATGGCGTGACTTACTTCATTTGATATGAGGGGCAGCTTAAAGGAGATCCTACTTTCGTCTGAAATATTATTTTGGGAAACTACCCAATGTTTTCCTCTAACCCAGGTGGCTTCTGCTTCGTAGCCATTGGAAATGGCAATTTTTCGTGCCAGGTTTCGCGATTCCTTCCTTTCCTCTTCTCCTGTGCACACATTCTGAGCCGTATGATACATATTTTTGACAAGTGCTTTTTTCATGTGTGAAGGATGAGAGGGGAGGCAGTGAACTAGAATGTTTTTACTACTTGGCTTACGATACCATTTTGTTAAATAGCCACTTACTGAGAGCTTTATTTGGATGTTTAAGAATGGAAGCCAGTTCTCGGTAGGTTTTTCTTGTGTAAATTTTATATACTCTGACTGTCGGTTTAATAATTCAAAGCACTCATCCATCTGTTCTTGTGTGGAACAGACGATGAAGCAGTCGTCT